ACCACTCCTCCGGCAGGTGGACGGCCGGTGGAGGGCACCACTCCTCCCGGTGTCCATCCTCCCGGTGGAGGCGGCACCACTCCTCCCGGTGGACCACTCTCCCGGTGGAGGCGGCACCACTCCTCCCGGTGGAGGCACCACGGTGGAGGCGGCACGGTGGAGGCGGCACCACTCCTCCCACCACTCCCTCCGGTGCAGGTGGCACCCCTGCCGGCAGTACGAGTCCGGACCAGTACAAGGTAGATAGAAAGTGTAAATGAGTTGTAAGTACGCTTACAGAAAATCATAATTCCTCAAAAATGAATGTATATTTGGTACTATGGAAATTATATGGATCATTTGTATAAATAACATTACAGTTGTTAGTATCAATAACTTTATCCTCGCCATGACCGTTATGCTAGAGATAACATTTTCATTATAATCATCATCCTTAGCATTATCACCATTATTCTAAGACAGGGTTTCACAAATTTCCTTTGTTGTGGCCACTAGAGCAATATATAATATATGGTCCTGTTCAGTGTCTGTCATCTTTTCAGATTCAGTTATTGATAGTTTTGCATAGCATAATGATGCCAATAGCTGAGATAAGTACACTATTAGGAAAGATTCCAATAAATTTATCTGTAAGTACTGTGAGACAAAATCCCGTTTAATTTTAAATCATAATCAACATGGCCTGGGAAGTATCCCATGGCCCCAAATAGAGAACCCCTGTTGGAGAATGACAACAATAATGTGGTTAACATTTCGTGTATCAACATCATGCACCCTCAATAACAGATTGACCGACCGTTAGTTGTAAACTAAATTTGAAGATTTCAATCCCGCGAAATAGTGAAGTGGCACTCATCCCGGACTCTGGAGCATTCCGTTTCCCTATATCTTTTAGGAAAATTCAATAAAATGGTGTTAAAGACAGCACATTAAGATAATTATAATAATAATGAAATATTTTAAAGTTTTGAAACACTTATCAAATGCAAACATGAGTATTAAGGTCAGCTGATTAGAAAATGAAGAAAAGGTGTGGCCAATCGGAGTGCTCCAGAGGGCAGTCCCAGTCTTTTCTTTCCTGAGACGACGCAGTACAATGGTATCTCTGAGATATCTTGGCAATATCCTTTCTAGTAAAACATGGCCATGATCCCAGCCAGTCAGTCAGTAAAAGAATTAAAGTTATTCATTTGATTTCCATATCAAAGAACAAGTAGATTTAATGCCTGGATGTAGCGCAGTAACCTTTACATAGTGTTTATGCAATAATGCTGATTATTCTAATCAGAGTCTGCTAAGATACTTGTTTCGTTACCATCTAACTTCTTGTTGATAATGATATGATAATCCCACATCCCATATTCTTTCGACGTTAGAAAATTAAAGTGCTAAGGTAAGGATT